TAGTGGTTACCACACAAATGATTGATCTTTATCAAAATCACTATATGAAAAAAGATACGTTTTATATAGTGATTATTATTATATAGAGGGTGGATTTGAGAGGAGGCATTGGCGGCTCTAATCACAATTATCTAATCATGCATGGAAAATATTTTAAGCTTCCGAATCAGGCTTCTCATGCCATTTATGATCCAGCATGGAAAACGTCACAGACTCATTATTGGAAGCACTTTGCATCTAAAAGCCCGTTGGTCAGAGGGGGCAGACGTATTTAACTAAATTATTACCGGCTAAAGCTAGCATGACAGAATACAAGTATAGTCTCAATACAGTGGAATGTAAAATCAATCTGACATAACTTTTCCAACAGATTTAGAAAACTGTCCCCAACCTGTGTCCATTCTCACTTCTCAGTTAACACATTACAAATAGCTATACAACTTTAGGTTCACATCTTGACTTTGTCCTCTGGCATTCCAAGATTTAGACTCCCTCTGCTTTTTTGCCAATTTTTTTTTATTTAATCTATCTCGACCGGCTCAATGAAGGTTGGAAGTAAACACAAACTGAAAAAATAAAATAAAAAAATAAATATATATATATATATATATATATACAAGATTTTTTCAAAGATTTAGTCAGAAAAATGCAGTCAGTCAGTTTAATGGGTTTAAAGGTAAATAAATAGGTAAAGGTCCCGTCTAATTAAAAGGACGTCAGACAATATGTAGAGTTTTTGTGTTAGAAGTACATTAAACACTGACATCTCTTCACTAGGTATCACCACGGTGCTCACCATGACAACCATTAACACCCACCTGAGAGAAACCCTACCCAAAATCCCGTACGTCAAGGCCATAGACATGTACCTCATGGGCTGCTTCGTCTTTGTGTTCCTGGCTCTGCTGGAGTATGCTCTGGTAAACTACATTTTCTTCGGGCGAGGTCCTCAGCGTCAGAAAAGAGCCGCAGAGAAGACGGCGTTAGCCAACAATGAAAAAATGAGGATGGATCCAAACAAGGTAATGTTTCATCAGATTGAAAAAAAATATATACGGTTGATTATTACTCTAAGCTGAGAACTGCAAGCCTTTAAAATGGAGGCTCGATCTCCTGTTTTCTGTCCACAATTTGTTGCTGTTTAAGAAACAAATAAGATATTGAATCAGCTGAAGGGGAACAAAAAATGATTTTTTCGCATGAAATAATGGAAATAAATAGAGATGTGCACAGCCTCATTATTTTCAGCTCGACTACTAATATCTGTTTGATACAGAATATCAAGAAGAATTGAGAGGGGAAAATGTCTGCGATATTATTCAGTGGCATCATAGAAGATCAAAGTGGGAGAATGAGATTCATCTAGTTTAAATTCCCCTATTAGTATGCTTTACTCAAGTGCGAATCACATATCGCGTATTGTGACCCGTGTAATCAGTCTGGAGTGTTTGCACTTGTGCATCGCCCAAAATCAATCCCACTCCACTAATCAAAAGGTTTTGTTGTGCTCCTCTCAGTGGCTGGTGGGTAATGTAGTTGGCAGAGATGACACTCTGTATGCCAGAATGAAACAAAGGGATCTGGACGGGCATGATTCCATGTGGGAGCCTATTTTTGTGGACGATGCAGCTATTGGACTTGGTGAACAAAAGAGTAAGGTACTGTAAACAAACTCTCATGATGCACATCTAAAGCACTTTTTGGTCTTTGAACTTATTACGGGGATGATGTGAAGAAAACATATAGTCATTTATAATTAAAGCGTAGTTTGAGCACAAAAAGCCAGAAGAAGCTACAACCATCAATAGATGATACTGCTTTTCAGGTTTAATACACACCATGTACCTATTTCAGTGGATACTCAGTATGGTGCGTTAAATGCCTTAATTCTTTTCAGAATATCTGAAATAAACTAGATTTACAAAAGAAGATGAAAACACTTTGACTATCAACTCATTGAATCTTTTCTTTGGGCAGATGGACACACATGAAAACATCCTTTTGGGCACATTGGATATCAAGAATGACATGGGCGTTACGGAGCTCGCCCTGGGTCTCAACGACCCGCGAAATACCATGCTAACGTATGACAGTTCCACTCTGCAGTACCGCAAAGCAGCGAGGCACAACTTTGGCCGAAACGCACTGATGGCTCAAAAAAAGAGCCGACTACGAAGGCGGGCGTCGCAGTTAAAAATCAACATCCCAGACCTGACTGACGTAAACTCTATCGACAAATGGTCGAGGATGATCTTTCCAACCGTTTTCTCCTTCTTCAATGTTGTTTATTGGCTTTATTATGTTAATTAAATGAAAAAAATGGACTCAATGGAGGGGAAGAACAGATAGCAAAATATGTTGCTCATTTCCTCTTTGTAGCTGGGTTATTTCATACGTATGTGATCTTATAAAAATAGACTGGATTTGTCGTTCAGGACTGGATGGATACATTATATCTTCAATTATGAGATTTTTTTTTTTGGTCAACACGTGAAAACCTTACTGAAGTGTTACATACATTTGCGGTGCCTGTTCCTGAGTAATTGTTAAAAATCTTCCTCATGGTGTGAATTTCGTATGTTAACTTTTTTTTTTTTTAATGTCTGTTGGCATTTTCTTTTGTTTAGTTATGTTACAGTACCAGAATGATATTGGTTGGTCTGAAGTTTATAAATCTACCATTATTCCTAAGTGATTTCCAGCCTCACACTGCTTCAAAGTCCTGAAACAAGATTCAGGTCAACAGGCCTTAAAAATATAATTTTTTTTCAAGGAGCCTAAAACAATTGTTAATGTGATTGATTTCATACTAATGGTGTAAAGGGGGATTAAG